GCCGTTTGAGGGAGGCCACAGTTAGTAAGGATCGGGTGGAAGGAGGTTTCTGTGAACTCGATACGCTCAAAACGACTCTTGGTTCGTATTTCCTGTTATCAGGACATTATTATTTTCCGGAGACGAACTGCGATGCACATTATGAAGGCTTTAGACTCTGAGAAGTTAAGTACAGGTAGGCGGGTGTGTAGACAGGCCAATAGGCAGACAAGAAAGAAAATTAGAAAAATGGAAAGTATACGTACCACGCCCTGTATCATGTAAGCTCTCATTTTGTTGTTGTTGTTGTTGGGTTGTTGTTTTTTTGTTCTAGTTTATCTGTCTTCTCGAATTTACTATTTATTTATTTTTCCCATTTTCGTAAAAGCATAGATACTCGTAATTGTGTGAATAGCATTTAGATCTATCCACAATATTATGGCTGTTGAGAAACGCATTCACCGATTTTTTTTTTCAAATGTAGGTGTTTTTAAGCCCCCATCGACATAATTTACATCATTTAGGAGGCGGGCTGAGAGAGAAACAACATCCAAGCAATATTATGGTTATTCAGAAACGCATTCACTGGGATTTTTTTTCTTAAATGTAGTTGTTTTTATGTCCCCATCGACACAATTTAGATCATGCAAGAGGCGGGCTGAAAGAGAAACAACATCCAAGCAGAAAGACCGAGATACAAGATAAAAATTCTCCATACTCGGGAATCGAACTCGGGTCACCTGCGAGTCACTGCGAGGCGCATCACCGTTACCCTATAGAGGCCAGGCGGTAGTTTTATTTACTAAGAATGTGTGTGTGTGCGTGAGAGAGAGTGTGTCTGTATGTGTCTGTGTGTGTGAGTGTGTGTGTATGTGTGTGTGAGTGTGTGTGTGTGTGTGTGCGTGCGTATGTATGTGTGTGTGTGCGTGTGTGTCTGTGTGTGAGTGTGAGTGCGAGAGACAGACAGAGAGAGAGAGAGAGAGAGGGGGGGGGTAGAGAAAGAGAGAGAGAGAGAGGGAGAGTGAGAGAGAGAGAGACAGAGAGAGAGAGAGATAAATTGTGTGTGACAATGTGTGTAAGTGTGTGAAAAAGATAGAAGGGGTGAGAAAAGAGAGAT